TATTGTTCTTTGCTTGAAACTATTGTCTTTTTTCACTGTTAACTTTTGTATTCTTTATTCTAGGAATATTAGAGACCGTTTTATTATACACAAGACAAGTAAGTAAGAATACTAAAATAATTTTCTTGGCATTTGTTTGGGCTCGCGGATAATAAAATCTAGTTTTGCATTAACTAGATAGTTAATGTTTTTATTCATCATAGGTTTTGAATTTCTTAGTATTGGTATGTTTAGTAGTCTAAAAATGAACATGTTTAACAATATTAAAGTTATTTCTGCCTAATAAATATGAATGTTTGTGGCTTACCATCAGTTTATAATATAGTATAATGTGTATGTGAAAAGTTACTTATACTTTCAGTCAATCCATTTTTATTTGATCATAGACAACAAATGAAACAAAAATATCACCATTAGGGTAAAAACAAAAAAAGTTCTGAAATATCGAAGATTCAGAAAAAAATATGGCATACTGTACAAACTACGTGAAAGTACTTAGCCATAATCAAGGAAATAACATCTAATTTGTCTGATAATAAGATAAAAGAAAATGGCCAGGGTATTAACTAAAGAATGGAGATGATAATACTTGATGAGTGTCTGTGTAGGGAGGACAGTGTAAAATGTGTTTTATTATTTCAATTATTTCTCCACCAGTGACAGTCTCCATTCAAAGGGGATCTTTCAGAATCTCCCTCCAATAATAAAGCCTGTTGGAAACATTGAATTTTTTCAAGAATAAAAGCCTTCTAAATTTTGGATTTGTTATATAACTAAGGTTGAGTGAATAACTGAGTTACTTACACTTTATTCTTTTTAATTTTTGGACAGCTTTTGAAAAAAATCACCTGCAGAAACGGATGCCTAAAAGCTCGGCAGTGAAACGTACTACTGAGAGGAACCCTCCACAGCAACCACTTCATCCATCATGGGAAGCAAGCAGAAAAATGCGAGAGCAAATATCTCAAATTACAGCATTCCAAGGGAAAAAAATCAAATTTGAAGATTAGAATTTTCCTTTTAGAGATGGCATCACTTATTATTATTATTTTTTACAATGTTGCATATTGACAATCTTGTAGCATGTATGTGAAGCCAGTATAAGCTAAAAAAAATTACTTTGAGGAATAATAATTTTTCACTGCAGACCATTCCTGTTTTGACATTGGCACTTTTGTCAAATATTTTTTAGGTTATAGAGATCTTGCATAAAAAGATCGGTGGTTGATTCTGGTCTGTCAACACTTGTAGAAATCCTTCACAGAGAATATTTTGAATCTTCTAAAGACCCATTGCTGATGATCTGCAAGACACTTACTAACCAAGAGAGGAAGAAGGAAGCTCCGTATGGCTAAATTAAAACTAAGAAGAAAATGGATTTTTATTTGCTCAATCTTCATTATCGCATTTAAATGATAATTCAGCTGCAAGATTGCAAGGTTGATTTTATGATTTGTTTGTTTTTGCCATTTAGTCCCTACTCAACTCCTGTGGCCATGGATATGAAACAGAAACATATATACAGTCTGCAGAATAACACTGATAAATCTTATGAAAGTAGACTGGTGCTTTTGAAAGATTATGCCATAATAAATCTATAATTTAAAATACCACTTTGCTTCATTTATGCAGGAAATATAGCCTTTGTGTTTAGTTACTATTTCCCAAACAAGCTGAGTGAATAGATGTGATGGCCTGATTAAGCACTATAAACTTTAAAATTAGAACGTGCAAGTTGGGCTCTAGAGATCATTATGAGATAATTGACATGTAGTTGGATCCAGGGGGTGGCCTTGACAGGTGGTCCCACAAACACTGAAAAATGAGGTGGTCCTCCCTCCCCAAAATACCATTGCTAGGCCTGAGTATATTAGACAGCTTTCATCCTCTCTCCTATTGAGAAGGTAGTTGTGCTGCAGGTTCAAAGAAACCCATAGGAAACAAATTATCTGGACCCCACTCAGGTTGCAGGCTTAGGTACAAGACTGAGACAGAATTGATCACAATTATGGATGGCCTCTGGTAGAAGGATGGGGAGGATGTGTCCATCCATGCCATTTTTAACCTCTCAGTGGCTTTCAGTATTATGATGGTATTGGGGGAATTAAGAGTGGTACCCAGCTGGTATTGATGGGAAAGAAAAAATTATCCCAGAGCCTCTTTGTAGAATTCTTCACAGTTCGATATACTCACTCTATTCTGTAATATCTACATGAAACTTCTGGATGAGATTTGAAATGTCTGTCCATAAAAGAATCTCAGATCATAGACATAAAATTTAACTTATTCAAGATCTAGACTATATTTTGGTTGAATCTAAATGAGACTTTGAGCATTTGAAACATTTTTATTTATGTCAATTTTCACATAAATTTGCAAACAGTACAAGAATATGGAAGTTCCGTGAAGAATACAATGTTAGTGTATGATTAATTATAAATTACTTCATAGAAAGATGTTTAGATTTTAAAGTTCTTGGAAAAGTAAGATGTTTACTTTTTTCAGTTCAAGTTAAATATATAAGCACCTTTGTAATGTAATGAAAATCTTTGTTGTGTTAAAAAGCACAGGATAGACCACTTTTAATGAAATTAGTATAGTACCTCAGTTATATCCAGCTTGAAATGATAGGAATGTATAGAAATTCCCATTATTAGTTTGTCATTTAAAAAAAATCTTTTAATTTAGTGCATCATGCAGTATTTGGCACAGCAAAGGGGTGTTTTGCTTTGTTTTAGTAAAACTCACTTAGATGGGTCAACCTCACAGTGTGGAACATTCCTGTGACCTTTGCCACATTCAATGCTTCTTCCAGTTGAGTGGCCAAATTGATGATAAAGAGATATTCCTTTAGGAATTCTACTTCATGATTTAGGGTGAACAAAAATTCTTAAATCACAGTATCCTTCACAAAATAGTATCCTTTTCTATTCAGGCTTTTTCCCGGATTCTGCACATACCTTCTGTTCACATAATAAATAACAGATACTCTATGTTTATACATGAAAATATGGTTTTATCATAAGAAAAATGCATTTTATACATTTTTATCCTATATTGCAAAGTTACTCAATTGTCAAGCCAACTATCTCTTACGTTACTAGAGAGAAGATCAACAACTTTCCTGAAGGAATGTCCTCTAAGTAGTTATTGGTGTCACAATACCAGTTCCTTGCTACAAGTCTGGGTTTTTTAAAAACTGAAGCTTATGTATAAACAATTCAAGTGGTTGACATAATAGTGCAATATATATGTTAATGTATGGTTGAGAATATGATCAGGACTGGCAGTTCAACATCCATCAAAAAGATAAGGAGTCTTAACAAGTGGATAGAAAGGATCCAGTCCTGTGATTTTGACCACAAACTTTTGGGTATGTTGCTTGAATGATAGAATAAATGCTTAATCTAAATGGATGGAACAAATTATAGTGCTCATTGGATGACGGTAAATTGCTATTTTTTTACTATGCAGTCAAAGGTGTTCCAGAGCAGATTTTGGGAAATTTGCTCTAAAATGGAAGGGAATCTCATCACAGACAACTGGACAATGAAAGTTAAAAAGCACCCAAATGTTTCAGATTCAAACTATAAAATCTTTCCACAAAAAATTATTTCATATATCCAAATGTTACATGTCATATAATAGCATATGAGCATATCTGTGCTTTCATGTATGTTTAAAATTAATTATTTTGATTTCCTAAACAAACACTTTAAAAGAACGTTTTCTTGTATGTTCATGAGGTACACAGACAAATCTAGGTAAGGCTCATTTTATGACTTCACCTGAATTTTTTTATTTTTTATTTTTCATGTAGCTAAAAAACTGTAGATTTTGTAATGGAACATAGCATAAAGCATCAAGCTTATGAACTCGGCCTTTTTTTTCTGGTGAGCATATATCATTTTCAATCTGTTATCCAATTCCAATTCATGAGAAGTGGTTTCTAAACATCTGTAATTCAAAGTCTTTCCAACATCTTTAATTGAAACACTTTCCAGTTAAAAAGGTGGGGGGGGGGGTGAAAATGCAAAGCAGTCTGCAGGAAGCACTGGAAATAGGCAAATCTGGTGTTTTAATATTCTAAGTAATGTGTTAAAATACTGATACACTTTTTGGTTAAAGATTATTTGCCTGCTAATGCTTTAAAAATAGAATCCTTTTATATTCAATGGATGTTTAAGCATAAATCTGTCCTTTAAAATGAATCCTACTTTTCTATCTATTAGACCAAAAAAATTGATGCTTTGGTATTTGTGGAAGCTTCATCTTCCCTACCAATTTGTTCCACAACTATAGTTTCTTCCTATACTCTTCACAATCAGTATTACACGACTGCATATCAAAGAACTATGAAATTGCTCTGTAATCCCAGAGGATTTGGACACTGGTACCATTGACTGTTGGTAGCAAAAAATATTGCAAAAAGATGTTAGAAAACTTTCATGATACTATGAAGCGATGGGTCTACTGCTATTTAAACATAAATGTTTAAACTCCCATTAGACGTGCCTCAACCATCCAATGAAATTAAAAGCAGCTCTTTGGATATCTGCCTATGCTAGCACCCTTTATATTTCTAAAAAGCACTTACAAAATATGCTGATTTCCAGTAGTCAATGGAAAAGATAGGTTAACTTCCTTTAGAATTCATTATTCTTTCTATAGAGTACTATTCTCTCACTGGCTTCAAAAGCTGAACAGCTGAATCAAACAAGCATTTCATTTTGAAGAAGTTTTTAATGCTTCAGAGTCATATTCTATATATTCTGGTCCTTCTCATTTTTCAAAAGTGTTTACATCCTATTCAGTTTATAAAATAATTGCATCTCCAAATCTTGGGTATCAGTAAACCAATTTCTTTCATCCTAGTATCTACAGAAAAAAAACAAGTTTATTATTAGGAACAATGCTGCACAGAAAATTACAAATAAAAATTTTAAAAATACAATAAATATTTTTAGCTATTAGGAATGTGATAAATTTCAATTTAGAAATTCAATTTGGATGAGATTTGATTGTGTCATCACAATGTTTTAAGACAATTTAGTCTGAAGATTCAAATGATTCTGTTTATATACACATTATTCTAATTAAAACTGATGAGTCAACTCAATTCAAACTGGATTATTAATCTGAATTGGATTTGAGTTAATATGCCTACCCTTGTTGTCTTTTGCTTAAATTGTTTTTATGAATACTGCAAACAGAAGCACTGAACAGATAGTTCACTATCTGCATTGGCATGAATGTAAAGTCCTTCATAAAAGCAAGGAGTAGTAATGTAGTAGCATCTTTTAGGAGGCTTTCAGAGCTGCTTTAAAGGCTATCCTTGCTTGTCTGTGCATGCATATACAGGTAGTCCTCGACTTACAACAACAATTGAGCCCAACATTTCTGTTGCTAAGTAAGATAAATGAGTTTTGCCCCATTTTACAACCTTGCTTGCCACAGTTGTTAAGTGAATCACTGCAGTTCTTTATACCATAGTTGTTAAGTGAATCTGGCTATGAGTCAGTGCCAAGCATCTGAATTTTGATCACTTGACCATGGAGATGCTGCAACTGTTGTAAGTGTGAAAAATGGTCATAAGTCATTTTTTTCAGTCCTGTTGTAACTTTGAATAGTCATTAAGGGAACTGTGTATGTCGAGGACTACCTATACATTCTGCTGCTACCAAGAGCACAGACAGGGACAGCCTTTGGAACTGAAACAAACCTAAATGCAGCTACTTAAACATTTCTAGGTTTATATTAATGTGCTTCACCAAGCGCTTTTGAATGCTTTTCCCATACTTAATATCCATTTGTATAAATCTTTTATAACTAATCTTAGTCTGAGAAGACATTTGCTCTTTCCATTTTAAAAAAAAAACCTGATTCTAAAAGAAGCTTAGCTTCTTTCAAAATAATTTCCAGTGTTTAAGCTTTAATTTTGAGATTTGAAAAATGTCAAATTCTCACACTTCTGCTAATAGTACTGGTGACATTTAAAGTCATTCACCCGGGCTACAGCAAAAAAAAAAGAAAAAAGAAAAAAACAGAGGATGGTCCCTCCACTGATTCTGTAAACCAACTACTACTTCAAACTGATAAGTGAAATTTTTCAATTTGTCATTTGATAAATAACATGTAGCAACAATATTGGTACATGCCAAATGCTAAATTATTGAATGCAAATTAAAGATTAAAGGAAAACAATAAGGAAGTTGGCTCTAAAGAGATTAAGGCAAAAGTTACATTATTATAGATCATCTTAGTTTGAAAGATTAATACTAAATCTGGGATGTGCAAATGCCGTGCTTAAGCAGCTATTTAAATATTCACACAAAAAAATAATGTTTTCAGATACAGACATGTTGGAAAATGGAAAATACTAAACTTCCTAACAACTACATGGGTGTTCTCCTTTAAGATAATTTATAATTATATGATTTTGAGTGGGAAGTCAAAGTGGGTCATAATTATGATTATATTTTTAATAGATATGCTACTATTAGGAATTTGTAAGTGTGAGCTAGAAATAAAAGCAGCTGTTTGTAAAATTCATGCAGCAGTAGGGAAGTACCAATCCCTTTAAAAGGTTCAAAACGATTTCTACAGAAGTATTTCACAAACAATCCAATTTGAGTATCATGCTTTGGCAAACAAAATCGAGTCTGGCATAATTCTAGGTTCATTTTAGGCCACTCAATTAAGACAGATTTATGGAAAAAATGTAAGTTTGGCAAAGTAATTTTTATAATGGAATGGATCTAACACAAAACCAAAACAAGTATAAAATATAGGCAGGCATAGGCCCAATTCCAGATATGTGAAATCACAATAACACTGCACAGTACGCCAAAGCATGTAGGAGCCCAGAATGTAATACCTATCTGCAACTCTAAAGCAGCCATGCCTTTTTCCAGGATTGCATGTATTCCTGCACATCAGCTGGATGAAATACATCCTGATGCTTTAAAAAGTTGCAGACAAGTTCATTTGTGCGCAGGAGAACCTTTTTGGAATTGAATCTGAAGTACTACACAGCCCTACTTTGCAGGGTTCCATAAATATGGCTTCCAAATGAAGCAAACTTTTAAAACAGCCTTTATCAGTTTCCAGGTTCAATCCAAGTCATATCCCTGAAAGCAATACGTCATGTCTTTAAGCCCTTTCCTAAAATAACTTCCACCTTATTGGGACAATAAATATTTTATTTTTAAAATGAGTGTAATTTCCAAGCATACCTCAACTTTTTGGGGGGGAAGGAGCAGAGGCTTTGGCTAGAAAATTATTCCCAACTTGGCATCCTCCAGATACTAGATGGCAATTTAATTTACGAAGTATTTTATAAAGCAATTGGTTAAGGAATGATAATTTGAACCATAGCAAGTTCAAGAAAATTAGGCTCCTGGCTTGTGTGAACATTTATATTTATATACAATATTTATTGTCCCTTACAGAAGTATAGCACATAACTTTAGTTGAACATTGTGTCTGACCATTTCATTTTAAAAAGTATTTTATATATACTTCCATCATTACAATGCTCTTCTATCTTCATGCTACATTTTATTAGTACTACTGCAAAATACTATAAACAAGAAAGAACTTACGGGGAAATTGTACACCCAGAGGCATAGGCATGATGGCCGGTGTAACGGATATCACAACGTACTATGTTGTTGGAATAGTCTGATTCCGGTACCAAGTAACTAGGGTTGACGCTAACCTACAAAAAAAAAATGCTATACTTTACAGGTTTCATATAATACTAAATATGTTTAGGTTTTCTAATTAATGAAATGTGATTACCTTTAAAATGTAATTTCCAGGTTTAACATCTGTAATATCAATCCACTGGCAATCTATATCAGCATTGTAGGTATCATAACAACCAGGACTCAGCCCCTAGAAATGTAATGCTAATTTTTTAAAAAATTGAGAGAATAACCATTTAAAAATACAGTATAATAAGCATATACTACTTGCAGAATAAAGAAATAGTCACTTTTCTTCTGTAAAGATTATTGGTTTATTTTTGCCAATAAGATTATTGGTTTATTTTTACTTCCTCATGGCTGGTCTAAAAGCAAACAGTGACATCCATTGGAATAATCTAGAAAAACATATGCTGCTGTCCTCTAACTGCTATCATGCTTGAATATCCTGAATGGATAACTCCATTTAAGCTACATATATAGTCTTAGCAACGTCCGATAGACAAAGTCGATGCCTTTCTCTGCCATGAAAATATTCTAAGTAATATCTTGACTGGATCTAGGAAAAGTATGACGTTTAGTCACAGACTATGTGTCATTTGGCAAGAACAGTCTTGGCCATGGAAAGGAAGGTCATGGGTATATTG